AGCTGGGTGCTGGCATGTGGTGGGCATAGATTTGGGTGTTGGTACCAGGGGTGGGGGGTGGATCTGGGTGCTGGCCCTGGGCAGGGGTGGATCTGGGTGCTAACTGGGGGGGGATGCATCTGGATGCTGTTGTCTACAGAGATGGGGCTGGGTGCTGGTGTCTGGGGGGAGTGGATCTGGGTGCAGGGTTATTGATGGTGGGGAATTCCTTTCCTGCAATTTTATGCCCATTGGAGAAACAAGGTTGGCTTTTTCAGTGGGAGGCACAGGCCCAGGGTTCAGAAACAGGCTGAGGAGGTTGTTGCCTCTGGGCTCTGATGCCCTGTGGAGTAGGGATGCAGCTAACTTGCTTTCTGAGGATGGACTCTTACCTTAGTTCCCTACTGGCTATGAAGTGAGAACTTCTCCTTAGAGAAGCAGCAACAATGGCACCTCTTATTTTAATTAGTGATGAACGCTGCTCCCTCATTTCTGTCTTGGTTATTTCTGAAAGGCTCTTTAAGACCATTTAATAAGAAGCAGGAATATACAGTTTGTATCAGAAGGCTGACATGGACATGTTTTTACTTGCAACTGGCAATTTTCAAAGCAAGTTCTCTTTAAGTGAAGCACTGAGATGCTTTAAATTTTTTTGACTTTGGAACCTCCTCCCTGCACAATCCATGAAAGAAAAATATGTATTTACCTCTGTGATTTTAAGTCTTATTCTGATGATTTCAGGTTAGAGGAAGATTGCAGTTGCAGAATAACTGGTGGCAAAACGTGTGTACAAAATACACTTGGATTCCTAGGAAGTGTCATGTCACTTAGCTGATAGGAGGGGGAGCTTTCCTTTTAATTTTTTCTGTTCACATTTCCTTGCAAGTTTGAATCTGTAGTCTCTCAGCTGTTAAGAAGTAAGGCAAGTTCACTTGCACAGTTCTGTGCTGCAGTAACTATCCTGAGAACAGTAGCTGAACTAGCTCAGATATATATATGCTGTAAGGGTGTGCAAAGCAGGCCCTATTCAATTCGGATTCGGCCCAAATCAGGGACTGTGTTTCAATTTGTTGATTCAGATCACTGTCCCCAATTCAATTCGGCCAAACCTGAATCTAAAGATTCAGTGCTGATTCAGAGAATCAGCGATTTGGACATAGACACAGCTTTAAATGTTTTTTCTGCATACCTCGAGGTACCAGCATGGCTGGTGAATGCTGTGATGCTGGGGCAGATGGAGCGTCCCACAGGGGCCTCCACGTGTCAGGAATGCGGGGGTGGGGGCCCTCCACGTGCTCAGCAGTGTTCCCAGAAGTGGACCGGAAGTATTTCCAGTCCACTTCCAGGTCCGCTGGGGAGTGCGTAGGGGGGACCCCGTGCTTCCTTGGCTTGGAGACCCCGGGTGTCCCCCGGCCCAGGAGGCACCAGTCGCTGAGCCAGGGCGGGCGTGGGGGTAGCCCTCTGCATGCTCCCCAGCGGACCTGGAAGTGGATCAGAAGTGCTTCTGGTCCACTTCCGGGTCTCCTGCCGAGTGCGCTGGGGACCCCCCTGTGCTTCTGTGGGACACTCCAAGCACCCCAGCATCACGGCATTCAAGAGCTGCCTGGTACCTTGAGGTACGTAGAAAAAACATTTAAAGCTGTGTCTACGTCCAAATCTTCAAATCTCTCCAAATCAATTTGGAGATTTTTGATTAGATTTGGAGAGATTAAATGGTCCTTTGATTCGATTTGGAGATTAGGCCACCGAACTGGGCCGAATCTCTGCCAAATCAAATAATGGCTTTGCACAGCCCTAAAATGCTGTATTGTAACATACAGCTTAGCTTCATGGGTGAAATAAGTAATGTTCTTCAAATGTTAATTTGCATCATTTGTGATGTAACATGCAATACAGAAGCCCTTACTGCAATCTTTGTAGGGGTATAATAGCTGTGGATGATTACTTCCTTTGCTTCTGTGTGTGTGTTGCTTTCCATTTCCTTCATTTCTTTTTCACAGAAAACTGTAAAAGACTTTGGAAATGATTACATGGAGTAGGTATAAATTTTGTTTAAACATAATTGTTCACAACATAACTTGCTAATACAAAATAGTTAAGCCAGTGTTGCTATTGTTCTTTTATGTGCTGCCCTTTCCAACAGAGGCTTACGGCAGCTTACAAAGAGAATGCAGCTATTACTAGCATAACCCTATTCCAAGTTAATATTATATAAACATTATTTTTTTATATGTAGGCTCCGGCTTACCACCTCATTTTGGAAGGAATTCTCATCCTATGGATAATAAGACTACTTTTCTCGAAAACTTATAAGCTTCAAGAACGATCTGACCTCACACCTAAGGTATGTTGTAAAATATTATTTTTGATATTCGATTTGTTTTTTCTTTAAAGGAGTAATATTTAATGCATTTGCCAGTTGCTGTGGAATACAAGGTAGCTTGGTCATATCACAGAATGTGACCATTTTAAAAAAGATGTTTTTAGTGACTTTATAGCTGTGTAAGACTTGCAAAAGCTGGGGTTTTGTTTTGGGAATGAAAGCAGTGTTTTTTAACTCCATTTTTAAGGTAAAGGTGTATTTTTTTTCTGAAAGTTCAGTTATTAGAACTTTGAAGAGATTGGATTTAATTTAAAACTAGAGACTTAGGTTTTACTGATCTGTAGAATAGAGCATTAGAATATTTTAGGAATAACTTCATTTTAAATATAGCCAATTTAGGTAGCATGTGGATGTTTTTAAAATCTCAGATTATTAACTTTAGTTTCTCTGTTAAGGAAAACAGTTGGTAAATCAGAAGCCAGGGAAGAATGTCTATGCAAAACCGTAGCACCTACAATTTCAGATACTGGCAGGTTCAAGGGAGGACAGAGAGCTTTACATTTTGATAAGTATGGGATTGAATCTTTTTCCTGCAAGCACCTGCACACCTGGTCTGTTCTGCATGTGTGTGTCCAATGACTTAAATGAGAATAATCAAGTATCAGCTCAGCACATGTATTAGAAAAATGAATATTAGTACTTTGTAGCTTTTTTTTCTTATGATTCTTCATCCCTGGTTCTCTGGCGTTCAGCAGAGCATTTTTGCCAAGTGCCGATTCCGTTCTAGTGGGGAACACTTTTCTGCTTAAGTACTTTGAAGCCTGTGTGCTGCTTTGGTTTCTCTTGGAATTCATGGAGGAACAAAGAAGAAGAGTTAATGAAGCAAATCTATGGAAGTCAGGGGTTCCTGAGAGCTCCCACAAAGAAGTTTTTTCTTGTTTGACAGATTCTGTCACCATCTTTTTGCACAGCACTAGGGATGAAACTACAGTTCTGTGTCAGAAAGCGGGTAAATGTTGGATGATCAAGACCATCTAGTGCAGGGGTGTTAAAGATACAGCCTGCAGAGCCATATCATCTGGCCCACAGAGCTGGAAATTCAGCGCCAGAGTAAAAGTGGCCATGTTAATTACCACCACTCCTTGAGCTGTGGCAGCTGCTGCTTATTCAGCTGCTAGACTTCTGGCCTCACCGGCAGTCCTGCAGCCTAGATGGTGTGGTTCCGTGCTTTGGACCCAGCCCACAGGGTTGGAAATTTGATAACAGAATGACTAGTCACACTGTTAATTGCCATGTCCTCTGGGAGCCACAGCAGTTAATGCTGCCACTGCTTACCCCATCACTAAATATCTAGTAGGGGTGCACCGATAGAGATTTTTTGGGCCAATACTGATGGCTGATTTTAAACTAGCAATAGCAGCCGATACCAATCCAATTGCTAATATGCGGCCCGGTGGCATGGAGCGCAGCTTCCGGGTAGTACATCTGTTGTGAGGGAAGGGGTGGGGGGAGGTAACAGGCATGGGGTGGGGCACAGGTCCAGGCACCCGTGGTGAGGGAGGGAGTGGGGCAGGGGCAGGCGGTGCCCAGGTTGGGCAGGGTGCTGAGGGCAGGCAGTGGCAGTGCTGAGTGGAGCGTTTGGGGGGAGAGCCACCCCAAAATTCACCGTAGCCCTGACAAAAACCCCGTTCCCAGCTCTGCTGCCGCCTGCCTCGAGCATGGTCTGGCCCCGCCCCATGCTGAGAAGAGCTTGGCCCAGCCCCAGCCCTTAGCTGCAGCCTGCCCTGCCCTGTGCACAGGTCTGGGGGGCATATACCCCCCGTGTCCTCCTGGTGCGTGCAGTGGCAGGAGCCGCCCCCCACCCCCACGTCCCATGGATGAGCTGTGGCTCCATCCCGTGCCTCAGCCCGCCCCAGCTGGGCAGCGCCTGCCCCAGCACAAGCCCTAGCCCCACTCCTTTCTTCACTGTGGGGGCCTCGATCTGCCCTCCCCCCATTCCCCTTCCCTTTCCCCACCCCTTCCCCCACAGCAGACTTACCAGCTGGACCCGGCTGCTCTCCATGCTGTCAGGCTGTTCTTCTGGCTGCCTCCATGCTGTGGTGCGGCTGCGCATTCACGGGGCATTTATCGGCCACATTATCAGCCACATCAGCCAAAAAAAGCTGTGCGCCGATATTCTCAATTTTCTTTATATCGGAGCTGATCTGATATGGAGCTGATGTATCGGCACACCTCTAATATCTAGTCCAGCAGCCCGGATTAGGTGTGTAGAGGCACATTATTTGGCCCATGGGGCTGAAAATGTGGCAGCAAGATGAGTGGCTTCTGCCACAGCTCTGAGTCTCATGTCAATTAATGGTGAAATTTCTGGCCCAGCTCCATGAACTGACTCTGTGCTCTGGATCTGACTTGTGGACCAGCCCCACAGGGCTGGATGAATTTGACACTCTCTCTCTAGTTCATGGCACTAGTACTCCTTTGGGGATACAAAGTCAGGAAGGAGTTGGTTGTCTAGATAGGCATGAGGCAAACTTGATAAGTAAACAATTACTGATGCTCACATTTGTAGAGTTTATAGAATTCTGTACAAGAAGTATTCAAGAAGCTCCTGAGGCTTTCTGTTTTCATATGAGCAGAGTAATTCCAGGGGACATAATTATGACTTGTATTTAGCCACTGTTACTTAAAATCCAACCCTGGACTGAAATCTGATAATCATCCTTTTGACAAAAGTTTTTAAATTTTGGAAAGTTGTGAGCAGGACTGTTAAGCATCAGTCTTGTGGTCAATCCAGAACTGACAACTCAGACTGGAGTTACATGAGGAGCGTATTGTACTGGCTCTCACCACACTAACTAATCCTGGGCAATAGCACTGGCGCACCACACTAATGGGGAATGACATCATTGGGCATTTTTACATATGTAAGTGCCACAGCGCTGGGTGCTGTGAAAATGCTTCCAGTTGCATAAGCGGTGAAATGTGCCTCAGTGCTGAGAAAATAGCGGCAATACACAATAGTATGTACTTCCCTTGCATTGTTTGTTTAAATTTAAGGAAAAAAACAAAGACACTGAAAACTGTTGACACACTAATTTTAGACACCATGATATGCCATGGTTGTCCGCTCGTCTGCTTCAACAGAGCTTAACTCTCTTCCACTGAGGTCAGTGCAGCACCTCCGGTTTCAGTGTCGCTATATGTAGAATCACTTGCACTACTTATTAGTTCCATTTCAGAATCAAATTGAGGCAAATCTGATTCAGAACTACTTGAACCACATTTTCTTTCACTGAAGGATGGTTTTACTAATGAGTCTATGGGCAAAAGCAACTTACCATCACACTGCATCTTCTTCACTAGTAGTGCTTCTGACCGATTCTCCAGAAGCAAGAGATTCTGAGAAATAGAAACAAGCTTAGCAGTGTGTTCATTTGTTAGTCTATTCCACTTTTTTGTCTTGATTGAGCTGAAAGCCTTCCAGTTCCGTTCACAAGTAGCTGGTGTTGGTGGAATACTTAGGATCCTTACAGCAATCCTGGACAGCAGTCGGGTCTTACAGTATCCTTTCCACTATGTGAGAGGTGGTACATTCTCTGCTGCCCAACAAATGATGTCTTTGCTCCAAAGTTTTTCTCTTGCGCAGTACTCAGCAGTGTCTGCCATCACGGCTTTTTCCTCCATGTTGGGGACATTCTTAGCTACTTTCATAATTGTATTGAGAGCAGTAGATAATTCATCTTCTGATAAATATTGTCCTCTGTGTTGAGGATCCAAAAGGTTTGCTGCCAGATGAACTGGATGAGGGCAAAACTCAGATCTTCTAGTAAACATTTGTTTTACTACTACTACTTTTTTGGATAGAGGTGAAGAAGGCAAAAGCTCAATTAGATTTTCATTCAGTTGTCTGAATATCTCTGGAATATTTGAAAAGCTTGGTGTATCTTATTTAAGTTTCTTGATAGTCACTGAAACTGGTAGTAGCAAATTGAATGCTCCTTGAACTCGAACCCAGAACACCTCTTTGTTGAGAATCTGCTTTCTACAGTTCACGCGAATAATCTGGGATACTGTGTCCTCTATTGAAGCAGACCGCAAACAGTTCTTTGTGTGCAGCAAACTGTGTAAACACTTTGTAGCCGAGTCCCATCTGTCTAGTTTTTCCTGGTAATAAAAGTGCATTTTTCTTCCCCTGCTTCTGTCTGTAATTTCTCCAAAGTCTGATTATCAACATGATGGTTGTTGAATACCTTCACAATTGCTTTCCAGTTTGCCCATATTGTCTTCATTGTCTTCACACTTACTGTGTCCTTTGCCAGAAGATTCAACCCATGAGCAAGACAGCCAGATACTATTAAATGAGGATACTTTGCCTTTAATATTTCCCATGAAGTTTTCATGTTACTTGCATTATCAGTTACAAGGGCTTGTACCCTGGAGGATATCAGTTCAGGTGTTGCTAACATAATGTTCAATAAAGGATTTCCTTGTATATCAGTCCATCCATCTGATATCAGAGTCAGTGATTCTGCTTGATCAATCCTTTGAATAACCATTGTTTGAAGTCTGCCAGACTCTCTGTCTAAGAGAGAATGTGGTAGGTGATAACGTGATGGTAACTTATATGATGGGCGAATTAGTTTGTAACGTTCTTTCTAGTATTGATTTTCAGTTATGGAAAAAGGTGTACCACTTGCAAATATAGCTCGAGCTAATGTCTCATCTGCTTTTTCTTGATCTTCTTGTGACATTTTGTCCACAAAGCTTGATAAAAAGCTTGACCATCTTGAGCAGCTACTCACGGTGGATCGCATATCTGGTGTCAGTGATCTTGAAATCGAGGATTCTGCTGCTGCTTCTCCCAGAACTGGCAGCTCAACATTTTCATTTTCCATTTTTTGCAAATCTGCTATTTCACTTGAGCTACCAAGTTCCTGCAACAAAAGGGGGAAAAGATTTTTATTTTAGCCTATTCTAGTTTGGCTTCATCCACCAGAAGGAGTGCTTGGCTGGGAGCTTACTTCCCCACTCTCTGCCAGAAAAAACAATTTGCTGCTCAGTTGCCCTGGGACTGCAGAGCCAAAGGGAAGTATAGTCTGGCCTCTGCCATCTGCCAGTGGACTAAGCTCGCTCTGCTGGGTTGAAATAGTTAACTATTTATCTATTATGTAATTTAAAAGAAAATATTGTTAAGCCTAAGCCACTTTGGGTGCTTAGAGCCAGCAGAAAAGCAGGATGCAAATATTTTAAATAAATAAATAATATTCCAGAGTTGCATTAACACCTTTTAAAAGTATAATGTTTTAAAACAATATAGATGCTAGTTTATACTCTGTGTTGTTTAACACATTAATTTGTTTACTTGCATGGGATTCCTGAAGTAGACTTTTCTCAAATGATGTTGTTCTACCACTTCATTGTATTAGCTTTTTGTATATGGCTTGTACTCTTTCAGGGCAGTTTCTACATATTATTAAATGTTTCTTTATTCTTGTTGTGTTGTTAGCATACTCCTGCCCATAATATTTACATCTACCAACTTTCTTCCCTCTTTCAGTGGCTTGAACTTTACGCTAATGATGCCCCCACACTAGCTTTTTTTTCTGATTAGGCATTATTATGACTACTTTAAAGCAAAAGCACTAAAAAACTAACAGATCTTTTGCAAACACTTCCAACTTCCTCTACTCAAGAAAAGAAATGAGACACTGCTGTGTGTGTTTGCTGAACTGAAAGTGAAACAAAAAATTAATCTCAGTTTTTGTTTTGGTTTTGCTTTCACTTGCAGTCTGAGATGAAATAAGAATTTTAGCTTTGGTTTTGATTTGGCCTGCACAGCCAATTAGGTGAATTCCTAACTTGATTTTTTGGTTTGGATTATTATGAGAGTCTATTTACCCTCCTGTTTTACAAATCAATAAAACATATATGTACTCTCTTACGCACTTCGTAGGGATAATCACCTGAAAAACAATTATAACTTTGAAACTACCAAGCTTGCCTAATATGGTATTGGCATCCATTCATTCTTACTAATGAATTTTATGAAACAATGAATTTTTAGAAATGGAAAATTTCCCACGGAAAAATAAAGCACTGGAAAATTTTCAGGCCCATATCTCTGGCTGTTAGGAAAATTCTAAGTTAATGTATTCTCAGTTACATGAACAGATTCATTATCAGAATTTTTTTTTTCTTCTGTTTTGGAAATGGAATTGTAACCCTTAGAAAAAGTTCTTTTTTGAAAAAGAATTAAACTTCATGTTTTAGATGGTTTGCCTTGGCAGTTGCTTACATTTTAAATACTGTTTTGTCTATGTCCTCTGGCAGCAGGGTATTTAAAAATGGTAGCAGCTACTTTGGGCCTTATCTACACTAAGAGCAACAATGGGTTATACCAGCAGAAAATAGAACCACAATATACATTTAGCTGTAATAACCTGTATTATTTTTACAGGGCTTTTTATTTTCTTTTTTAAGTTTCATAGTGGGCCCCTTTTAACTATGGTTATGGGCTTGCAAAAGATTCTGAGGGTGTGGCTGCATAAGCAAGTTGCTGCAAGGAATATTAAGGTGTGGATTTTACAGCAAGTTGCAAATTAGCTATTTTGTGTTAACTGCCTGTGTGCATTCTCTGACCTTGTGGTAAGTGTGAGAGCTTCGCACGTTTTCACTGACAGGGGAAATATCATCCATGATTACAGCCTGGGACTAGATGGGACTAAGGGGATAGGAACTCCTGAAGTCTAATGCTGGCCTCACTGGCCGGCAAAGTGACACTGGCTCACTTTGTCCTTCTGTGCCACTCTGTCTCTGTTACATCCTCTGTACCTTATCTCAGCTGTGTTGTGAGGTAGTATTTGTGGGGCATTCAGTTCTATGTGTAATTATCCAACACACAGTAATACATGGATTAGTGACTGCTTCTGTTCTAGCCTTTGGCCACCTGTATACTCTCTTTTTCTTGGGCCCTGTTTATGTGTGTGTTACTTTTCATAGCGCTCCAATGCAGGGATACTCAGCCACCAGCCCAAGGACCAAATGTGGCCTGTGGAGTTCTGGTATCTGGCTCCCTGTGGTTGGGAAATTTATAGCAAAGGAGCAGTGGCAGCTGATACTACTAGCCTTCCCCTTCCTGCTGCCTAACTCCCAAGTCCTGCATGGTGACTTGCACCTGGGTCACAACCCTCCCCCAATATGGCTAAATAGGGGCCAGGCCACACTCCCTTCTCTCTGCTCAGTTAGCTCAGGGCCAGCCCCTGTAGCCTTCTCCCCATCCACCTGTGGGTCCAGCCCATGCCCCCTTGCCTCCCACTTGGCCAAGTTAGGGTGAGCCACACCTCCTTCCTCCCCCAGGGCTGGGACATACCCACTCCTCCTGCACAGTTGGTTTGGGGTTGGGCCCTCTCTTGCACCCTTTCCTCCCACTCAGGTTGGGGCTGGGGCCCGCCCCCTCCCCCTTGGGACTCAATTGGGGCTGGGTCATGGCCCCTCCTTTCCATGAGGCTGGGTTGGGGCAGGGCCCTGCCCCTTCCCCCTCACAGCTGGAATAGGTCAGGCTGCTCTCTTCCCCCACCTTCTGCACAGCCAGATGGGGCCCCATAGCACTTGCCCCAAGTGTCAGATTGGATCCACTGGCTGTGGTCATTTAATGGTCAGATCTGATCAGGTTTTTTTTCTTTCCATCTCACTTTCAACTCAGTTTCAGCAGTGAAGAAATCCTTTGTGTGATATGCTGGGGTGATAGTGCATCTCAGGTGTCATGTGGGAGTGCAGTTGATTTGATGTGAAGCTAAAGTCGTTTACTCATCCCACCATTGTGGTTGCAGTAAAAAAGATACTAAATTTTTGGTATTTTTCTTCTGTCCCTTTTAGGAAAAGGAAGAATTGATTGAGGAGTGGCAACCAGAGCCTCTCGTTCCTCCTGTACCAAGAGATCATCCTGCTCTGAACTACAGTGTTGTTTCAGGGTAAATCTAGCAAAACGGAATTTTGTTTCATTTTAACCCAAACCTCTGTAAGACATCCCTGTTTTTAAATATGCAAGGATTTTGATGTTTCAGGGGTATGTTTGTGAATGAGTTATATTTTAGGATTAGAGAACTGGGTTTATGCTTGAAGACTAAGGGTCCTTGCTGCATCCTTATTTTGTCAGTCAGCTTTTTAGGAGATACAGTTATACACAGAATCCAGTTCTCTTGTTTTTAATCTTTGTATCACCGTGCTTAATAGACAGTTGAGTTAAAAAAATCGGGGCATCTATACGTGAGCAGCAAGCCTGCTGCGGCGTGCTGTAAACAGTGTCAGCTGTAAACAGTGAGTCACAGCAGACTCAATTAATCGAGTCTGCTGGAGCATGCAAATTACCACACTCCAGCATCACTTTTATCACTGCCCCCATGCTTAAAAATGGTGGTGGGGCTGCTTTAACTAAAGCTTGTTCAATGAGCTTTAGGTAAAGTGCCCCCACTGCCATTTTTAGGTGCAGTGGGCTGATACACGAAATGTTCCAGCATCTTTAATTAGAGCAGCAATCAGAGCTGCTCAAATTAAAGTGCATGTCCCATCCCCCCACCACCCCAGAGCACGTGTATAAACGCCCTTAAAGTCTTGGCCATGTCCTACAAAAGTAATACTGATGTGCATTTTATCGTGTGTTGCAAGATGGATGTACTTTGAACATCAATGCGTACCTAGCTTATTAATCACAGTGTAAAGGAATGATTGTAGAAAGGTGCTAACTTTAGATTTTTTTTACTTCCTTGTTAGTAACATTTAAAATGCAAATATTTTTGTATTTATTAAAGATGTCTTATTAGTAACAATAGCTGTTTAACGTAATGTATTCACAGAACAGGTATAGTATGATCAGCACAGCAATTACTTTCATATGGTGCCATGCTCAGATGCCTCAGCTACAACAAAGAAGCAACAGTCTGCCACAAAAAACCCCAAATCCCTGGTGCTGGTTTTAATTGTGATTTTTTTTTTTTTTAATGATATGAGCATCCAAGCATATACTTTTATCCCCCCTCTCCATTGTTTTAAAATACTTTCTATCCTGTAAGGTCCTTTACAGTTGAAATGCTGGGTGTAGAGTGAAGAGAACATTCAGAAATTAAACTTAAACATGATTTAAAATGCCCCAATAAACTTCAGGTCAGGGATTGAATAGGGATATGAAGTCAATATTGCATGGCTGCTACACTTAATAGCAGTTGCAGAGAAAAGATGGGCAGATTAAGACTGCCAGATAACCACCTTCTAATAGGCCACTGAACAGCTGCTGCATTATAATTTGCACTATCAACATAGATCACATTTCAGAATTTGTGCCCAGGTGGAAGATGTTATATTCTATAAGTCCAAGAGCCACTCTGTCTCCCTCTTGTAGTTTTTCAGGCAATTTTGCTACCCATAATAAAGTAGTTGTCTTTCTGTGATTTGGATGCGTCGGTAATGTCTCTTATAAGAATGTCTGAATAACGCATCTCTTAATTACATTGGTATGTAGTGGTTTTGTATTCCTAAATTTGATGCAATTTATTAACTGAGTCAGATGTTGCTCACACCTGATTAGGAAGCGTGAAATATTTTGTCTGTTAAAAGAATGAAAAATCAGCCCACAAAAAGAGTATAATCTTCCTTCCCTCTTAACATGTAAGGCAGTTGTGTCTTATGTTAAATTCACTTTCAGTTCATTAACACAGACTCCTTGTCTGTTGAACTGAACAGAAACTCAGAGAGTTCCAGCATCTAATATTGTTAAATGGTAGCAAAGCTGATGACAGAACGTTTCCAAAAAAAAAAAAAAATAGCAGCCAGTTTTCAGTTAATGATTATAGAGAGGCATATGACAACAAGTTGATCACAGAAATTAACTGATTTCTGAAATGTTGCAATCTTCCTACAACATTAATCTGTCTGCAGGATAGCCTATTTGGACAAATTCTTGCCAAATTCTCATTTAGCAAATGTGAACTTTAATGTGTTTAAAGTAATAAAGTGTTGGAAACACAGGTGCGAAAAAATGAGCTATTACAAAACAAAATGTCTACAATTGAATTCGCACAGTGGTGCCCATTCCATGCAAACTTTAATAAAATGGCAGCAGTTGCTTGCTTCAGCTTCTTTGATTTATTTCTATGTTTGATATCAAAGAGTTTAGTTTTAACAAGTCTCTATCTAGTCATACGTCCCTTTATAGACATGGGCATAGATAGAAGCCTGTATAGAGCCTGAAAATTGGATTGTTGCCAATTGATACATGGGTAAATTCCATGAGAATCAATTGGGTTATGTTTTTATATGAAAGGAATGCTCTCAGCTCCTTGGTATCTCATTATAATTAATATATTTCCAAAGTATCCCCCCTCCCCCATAAAAAAACCCAACCGAGTAACCCAAAACCTCTCTTATGTATGATTTTGTCTTGTAACACACACTGTTATTGAGGATTGCAAAGAAATATTACTGCCATTTTCATAGGTTAAATTAACAATTTCCATGTTTGGTGTTTGCCTAAGGATGAATATTTCTTTAGAAGTTGGGATAAAATTGTATAAAGCAGCACGTCTTAACCTCTTGCCTATGGACCACATTTAGCCCGTAGAGCCATGTTATCCAGCTCATGGTGTCTCCACAAGTCCAGAAACTTGGTATCAGGGAGGGATGGCAATTGATGCTGCCATTGCTCTCCCACTTCCAAATTTCCAAACTCAGTAACCAGGTGATGTAGACCCATGTTCCAGATCGGGTCAGGGTAGGGGTGGGCCAGTGCATGGGGTCAGGGCCATGGTGACAGACTTGATCTGGCATGTGCAGGGCTCTACCATTTATCTGGCCCATAGTCCACTGAGACAGAAAAATCTTTGGTAGGGCTACAGTTTTAAGCAGGTTCATGGTAAATTTCAGTAATTACTATAGTCCTTTGTAGATTTGTAAAGTAATCATGTGGTGAATTGTGTTAGATTTACCAAAGTTAGTGTTTAAAAATTGCTTATCAAGTATATAATGCTCACTGATATGAGGCTGCATTTCTAGAGTTATGCCCTGAGTTTGCAAACATGCATGAAATAAATAATCTAGTCTCTTGACCTCAGTGGTACTACCAACCTGTCTAATGTTAATGTGAGTGTGTTCGCACATTCAGGACCCTAGAGATGCTTTGCACATGTACATGCAGCACAGTCACTGGAATTTTTTTTTCCAGATTTTTTTTTAACTTCAAAACAAATTAATAAAAACAATGTGTACATGAACTCTTCAAAATTCAAATTGCTGATAAAAACTGATTCTAGGTTTTCCAGGGGGTACAATTATGCATAATACTAGACTAGTTTAAAAGCAGATTAAAGCTGAAGCACAGATAGGCAAATCTGCTTTAAAACTACCTGGAATAATTCAAAAATCCACACTGCATTGCCCACATTGCATCCTGGCTTTTGGCTGCCAGACTCCTAGCAAAGGCTGTTCTACTAACTTTTATACACTAAACAGAATGGTAAATCTGATATATTAAATTACAAACCCTATGAAATATTTTGGTGGAGTGTTTGCTTAAATCTGATTCCTTTAAAAAAAAAAAAAAAATTCTGTACAAGTTTGGTTTGGTGAGCGTGCTTGATAATTTCTAACTCTGTTCTTGTTTAGAGAAGTGGCAGGGCTTTTCTTCCTTTTTGTTTTATATCGCATCTCTTATTCCAAAGAATCACAAATACAGTTCTTATGGGTTGTAAAGACAGTTTTATCCATTTCTCTACAGATGGAAACACATGTAGCCTTTGTGCTGCCGTAAGATGTTTCAGAGCTGCATAAAGGGCAAACAAAGAAATATCCACGTCCCTTGTTGTTCCACAAATGTCTGAAATTTGTGACTGCAAAGTAGGCAGTGTCAATTTGTGCTGCTATTTAGCTCTGGACGGTTTGCTTTGGTGCGTGTGTGGGCAGCCCAGAGCTGCCTGTGCTCTCCAGCTTCCCCGGCAGGCACTCCTGGGACTTGAGGGATCCAGAAGTTCCTCTCAAGCCTGGGGTGTGCCTGCCTGACTTTCCCTTGTTTTTGGGGACTCTCCAGTTGGACACTCCAGTTTGGTTCTGGGGCTGGGACTGCCAGTCACCTGATTGTGCGTCCCAGCCCTGTGAGCTTAATGGAACCTAGTTCAACACTCTGATGTGGTCCCGGGCTTGACGATCCCAACCCCATTACTGCACCAGAGCTGGCTTTCCCTGCTTGTAGAGATGTGCCTCAGTGGGACACATCCCATCACAGCTGATCCACTTGACTGGTGATGTCTATTTCTAGCCTGAAATAGACAGTGGATTGAGACAAGCTTTCAACAAGAAATAGCACAACTAAACTGTTCAGGATATAAATTTGAAAAATATTTTTTTTTTTATTTAAGAAACTGGAGATTTTATATTAGCAGACTGTAATGACATCAACTTGGGATTTGACTAGATGTTGGAGTTGATATATCTGTTTCTAGTTTATATTTAGTTCCAATTTAAATTAGAATGTGGGGGAACCTCCAAAATGCTGTTAGCATATGTCTTAGCTGTTTCAAAATGAAGATGTACTGTTTGACTTTTCTTTTCTTTTTTAAATAAAAGGTGGCAGATATTTAACAATAGCAATATTTTTCTATTTCTGTAGTCCTCCGACACACAAAATAATAGTTAATGGCAAGGAATGTATAAACTTTGCATCATTTAACTTCCTCGGACTGTTGGATAATGAAAGAGTTAAGGTGAGTGTTTTATGAATGCATGTAGGCAGTTATAATATTGAGGGAATTTCTTACTTTAATTTGTGCTTTGTCGTGAGTTCTGGGGTAACTTCAGAACATGAGCATCACAGATTGTGTTCATCAACCCTTCATCCAATGTAATTATCTCGGGTACTAATTCTGACCGTTGTTGGCCTAGCACAAGTTTTAGGTGAGGAATGTCACCTCTGCTTCTGATTCCTTATTTGGCAACGACAAATCCTTATCTCTTCAAAGGAGTTATAAATAGTTTAATGCATTTACATCTATGAATCTATGTCTCCAAATACTTTTAAAATCATTTAAGTGCTAAATGTTTTTCAGTAGTTTTCATGGGCGAGGTGTCCACTTGTGAACCTTAACCAGTTATTTTAGTGCTTTGTAAACTGGAAATATGAAAATACTAGGATTTTAAGTGACAGAACTTTAATTTGATGTTAAATGCAGTAATATTTGGATCCTTATAGCTAGGGATATGTATTGCAAGAAGAGTTGGGGGGGGGCATAGTTAATAACTCTGGAAGAATAAATCCATATATGAAAGTGCTTCCAAAATGTTGGGTTGATGTGATAGCATTTTTCCTTCCTTCATTTTTCTTCCTGCCTTTTATATTGTCTATGTCTGCCTCAGTAATTTTAGCATAACCAAATAATTCTGTAGGAAATAGAATTTCTTCTATCCTAATTCTGAGGAAAAAAAGATAACACAGTTGAAAAAATTGCAGAAGTAATTGTTTTGAAATCTGATAGATTGGGTGATATTTCCAGATTTTTCTAGAAGCCCGTCTTTAAGCAAACAAATGGTGTCTGGTATGCTAATGCAGTATACAGACATTTTTCTATTTAGGATACTTCTTACTACACTTCAGTGAGGCTGTTTACAGATGTAGGCGTTATGCCACAAAGATGTTAGCAAGATCATTCCTGGGCTTTGCATGATATGGAAGATTCATATGATCTTTTTGTGGCCCTTAATAGACCACTCAAACTACTTCCTGTGTAAGAAGATAGTCAGTATCTACGACTTGGGCGAGGGATGGCCAACCTGTGGCATGGACAACCTCTGTGGCACACAACAGATCAGGGATGGGGCAGGCTGCACACCAACAGATACGTTAAGGAGAACAGGGAAGAAAGCAGAGCGGCAGATTGAGCAGGGGAAGGGGATCAGAGTGACATTCAGGGGGTGGATGGGGACAGGGAATGGGGGGATGGACATGACCATAGCACGCCTGCCAAAAAAGGTTTCCCCCACTGACTTATTTCTCAATAGCCTTTTATCTTACTGCATATAAAACAAGATAATCTACTTCTACAAATATTTCATATTAAAAATTTGTCTTTCTTACCATAGTGGGAGATATCTGATACAAGTCACTTCTTCGGCTTCTTAAAGGCTTGAGGAGGCATTTGGAGGAACTCTTCACAATTGTTCATTTTTTTTTAGCTGTATATAGTGTAGTCATTAATACATGTTATCAGCCTTAAAGCTTTTCCACAGAGAGAGGAAGAACTCTGCCAATTCTCTGTATGCAGCTGAAGTTCTAAGGAATATATTGTATTTGCATGAAATGTTGATGTTCATAAAGCTGCGATCTTGGTAAATATTGTCATGAAATTAATAGGTGAAAACAGGATATTTTAAGTAGTTCAAGCCAACTGTTGCTTAACAGAGTAAGGATGTGGACTGATGTGCATTGAAAATGCATGGGGGTGGGGTGGAGATGCTTTAATTATTTTGGGTAAATATCAGCTGATTTATTGTAACTGTTTCTTCTGTCCGCTGCTTTGTTAGAGAAAGTAAAGCTAAACACAGTAACTTGATCCAGGGGGAAACTCCCTGGTTCTGTTAAACTTTTACTTACCCTGGAATGGGAGTGGACAGATGAAACAGTTATAGCAGATTCGGTTGCACCAGTAGTGTATTTCGTCCTTCAAAGTGGCAAAATTGTTATTCTCTTCATGCCCTTAAGCTTTTGTAAAAATCTTGCCCTTGACATTTTTTTTTTTTTTGAGGAAATAAAAGTAATGGCCTAGTTTCGAGGTGGTAGAGAGGAATTCCGCCTTTGCTGCTTTGTGCTATGTAAATTAGCCTTTCAGTTAGGACAGGACTGAAATGGCTAATATATTAGTAGATAAAAAGAGAACAATAACTATACAGTTGATTGATTTATCAAATTACATTAGCATTATGTAGTATAGATTATAAAACTGTAAATGCAGCTTCAACACTTGAATTAAAATAAACTTGTTTATCAATATTCAGAGCTTGCAAAACTAATTAAATCCTTGTACAACACTTTGAGTGCAGTCCGTCCATTGGCTAAATGACAGTTCCACTGTTTAGAAATAATAAGTTACATAAAATTATCAGTATGAATGGTACTTTATGACTTGCACCATAGAAATAAACTAAATGTTGTTTCTTGTTTAATGTTTTCATTAAAGAATGCAGCCCATGCATCTTTAAAGAAGTATGGTGTTGGCACTTGTGGACCTAGAGGATTTTATGGAACTTTTGGTAAGTAATGATTTCATTTCTTGTTGTTAAAAATATTTGTCCCATGTTACTTTTAAAAGTGTTTATGCTGAGGAACTGGGCAAGCCAAAGCACTCCAGTCTGTGTTCTGTAGCTTGTATCCTTTGCAGGGAGCACACAACATATCTCAGTACAGTGCTAATGCTAATGATCAGTAATATTTATCACTACTAGAATTAGTTTAAACAAGAGCTCAAAAGACATTTTTCCCCTGTCTGTCCATCCAGTATTATTCTGGAGTGAAGTCATAAACTCAACTAATCAGATTAAGCATTAGAGCACCGAGAGAGAATAAATTTAGGTCCAGCGAAGCAATTAAATGATGGTGGGTTTGGGAGATTAGAAGAGGGGGAATATACATAATCCAATTAAGACTCTAAGTATTAGAATATTAAAAGTGTTTTAAAAGATACAAAGTATTAATTTTCTTTGGACAGTACAGGATACCTAGTGGTAATGGACCTGGGTTAAATAATCAAAACTTAATCTTTACCATTGTTTAACCAAACTTGATTATCCGCCATGTTTAGTTACTGGATGAAAATACAAGTATTTAAGCTACAGGAACAGAGTTGATTGGACTTATTCTTGAACAGTCAGTGGTAGGATTCTAACCCTTGAACCCAGATGGTTATTCCCTCTTCTATCTACTAGATAAAGCTGCCTTATAATTGTACTTTCAGTAATAGCCAGAGTATTCAGAAATTCAAGTGTGTGATTTCTTCTAGAAACTTCCTTATCTTTCAGAATTTCACTTATTTATACTACAGGCAGTCTTTGGACTTACTACACAATTGGTTCCTGAAAACAGCATCTTAAGTCGAAATATTGTAACTCAGAACCTATTTTTCCATAGGAAACAATGTTATAAATGGAGGATTGGTTCCTGAACCAAGGCCCAATACCCTATTTGTACCAAAAATAACCCAGAATTTTGTACTCAATCAATTATAGATAAGTAATATAGCTACATCAACGTATTTATATTGTATATAGCAACCATATTGATTGGAGGGACTTCTTTGAGGTGACTGCTGACTTTTTGAAGGGTTCTTTGGATGGAGACTTCTGAGGAGTCTTGGCTGCAGGTTTTTCTGGAGTCTTGTCTGCTTTCTTAAAGTGTCCAAAAAAGTTTGGACAGATGTTCTCCAGGGAGTTGGATGATACAGCGAGCATGTTTGCTGGCATTGCATCAGATCAGGCGTTGTAAAGTTGAAACTGACACCAAAAAGTTGAAACGGGGTCAATTTATAAACATTGTAAGTGCGAAACGTTGTAACTTGAAACGTTGTAAGTCAAGGACTGCTTATATGTGTAATTTGGTGTGCTGGAATATGTTAAAATGAAAGGCATACAGTAGGCTGAGGGCAAGGGCAATTAGAGCTTCTTCATAAAATGCTTGAAGCAGTAGTTAGCTTCTGCTTTCTGTACTTGTTAATGGTGAAACTTCCAAGTATATAATTTGTCTAATCCTATATTCAGAATGAAATACCCTTCCCAAGTGACATTTATTTAAGAGGTTTTTTTGGTGGTAGGAGGCAGAGTTCTTGAAATATGACACTAGTAGCAGGTATTTTGTTTTAGAGGGGTTGTGAAATGTCAGCGTCTGGAAATAATTCATTAGAGAATGAAGTTTTGTTTTAAATTCCTCTCTAGTTTCCGCTCAACCCAAGTAGGTAGTTTTACAGCTAGAATAAGCTAAAGAAATCTCTTGAGCTCTCACAAGATTCCCTGGAAATGACAGTTGTTGTTGTTTTACCCAAATGGTTAAAAATGGCTCCCTAGGGTAACTACATATGATGATCTCTTCATAAGATGAGCTTGAATATTTCAGTTAATCATGTCAGCCCGAAGAGGTCTCGCAATCAAGTTATTGTTTAAATGTAATAAATATTCCATCTCTGACGGAGCAAATTTGTTTTATTTTAGTCTTTGAGAAGTTAACCTATTCATAGCCTCTTAGTCCCTTCATCAGTATAGAGGCATATCTGGTCTTTCTCTCCACCCAAGGTGATAGTTACCTTATGATTAAGTTATTAGTGAGCTGTTTTGGGAGTTGTTGATTCCTACAATGTTTTTTCTTGTCTGTGGTTCAGTCCAGAAAGACTTGACTAATAACAGTTCTCTCCCTCATCTTTTTGTAATTGCTTCAGCTAATTGTGATTATAGGCTTTGGTGAATAAGACAAGTTCCACGCTTGTCTCCTGTCCTTTTGAAAAAGAGAATTATGAATTCCAAATTCATTGTTAAATAATACTGTGTTTGATTTGGTAGCTCTCTCTGATTCTTTGGTTATTCATCTATTTTGTTTTCTCAAGGCACATGATCTTATCTGTGGAACTGGCGATTGACAGATAGTGAAAGGGCATCTGTTGACTGCATCATCCAGCATTAGATGTGATCTCCTAAAACTAATGGCTGCTTACAGACGTAAAAAAAACAAAACAAAGCAAAACTGCACTTAAATTTCAACTTGGTGAGTCCCTTGCCAAGCCCAGCACATGCCCAGAAGAGTCATCGCCAGAGATGTGGGATTTCTGGAAATTTTTGAATTTTCTCTGCTGGGTTGAAATAGTTAACAATTTATCTATTATGTAATTTTTTTTTAAATTACTGTTAAGCCTAAGCCACTTTGGATGCTTAGTGCAAGCAGAAGAGCAGGACACAAATATTTTAAATAAATAAATAATATTCCAGAGCTGCATTAACAACTTTTAAAATTATAATGTTTTAAAACAATATAGATGCTAGTCTATACTGTGTGTTGTTTAACGTATTTATTTGTTTACTTACATAGGATTCCTGAAGTAGACTTTTCTTGGATGATGTTGTTCTAGCACTTTGTTGTATTAGCTTTCTGTATATGGCTTGTAGTCTTTCAGGGCAGTTTCTATATGTTATTAAATGTTTCTTTATTCTTGTTGCATTGTTCGCATACTCCTGCCCACAATATTTACATCTACCAACTTCCTTCCTTCAGTGGCTTGAACTTCACTCTAATGATGCCACATACTAGTTTGTTTGGTTTTTTTCTGATTAGGCATTATTATGATTATTTCAAAGCAAAAGCACTAAAAAACTAACAGACCTTATGCAAACACTTCCAACTTCCTCAGCTCAAGAAAAGAAATGAGACACTGCTCTGTGCGTTTGCTGAACTGAAAGTGAAACAAAAAAATTAATCACAGTTGTAGTTTTGGTTTTGCTTTCACTTGCAGTCTGAGATGAAATAAGAATTTTAGCTTTAGTTTCAATTTGGCCTGCACAGCCAATTAGGTGAATTCCTAACTTGATTTTTGGTTTGGATTATTATGAGAGTCTATTTACCCTCCTGTTTTACAAATCAATAAAACATATATGTACTCTCTTAGGCACTTCGTAGGGATAATCACCTGAAAAACAATTACAACTTTGAAACTGCCAACCTTGCCTAATATTGTATTGGCATCCATTCATTCTTATTAATGAATTTTATGAAATGGAAAATTTCCCATGGAAAAATAAAGCACTGGAAAATTTTCCGTTTTGGAACATTTTCCACCCCACGTCTCTGGGCATCGCATTAGGTGGATCTGGCTCTTCCAACATCTGTATAGATCAGATGCTTTAACGGGGCTTTTTTGTTACGTTTATTTAATTGCTGAATCAGCTATTGTTGATTGAATGAACTATTAGATAAAAATGCCAAAAAGCCCCACTGATGTGCCGGATCTATACAGACGCTGCAGAGCCGGGTCAAACTACATGCTGCTTCTTTTGGTTAAGCAAGGTTCCTTCCCCCCCCACACACACACACACCTGTCAGCAGCCAGTGTAATTGAGTAGTTGATGTCTATTCAATTTAAAGTGCACCAAGAGTGTACCAATTTTCTAACTGGGTCTATGTCTAGGTTCTTGCTTTTCTTTGGTCCTAAGACTTGGACCTTTTCAGGATTCTTAATAAAGTCCTGCTAGTCTTGTGGCAGGTGACTTTGACCATTCAATCAGGGGCTGGCTTTTCATACAACAGACTGTATATGGTATATATGGTGGGTTCAGCAAATGAGGAATGTTGTCTGGCACTACTGTAGAACATGGGAGTTGATTTGTGGTGGTTGTCAACTGGCAGTCCCTTGGATTTAAAATATTCTGTTTTAGGAATTGATTTTTCGCGTATGTTGCATATGAAGTTGGATGCTGTCTAAAAGTAAAAAATCATTATGATGGTGATACGTACTTCCTGTAGACTTTGGAAGTTTGGTCTCTGCTCTGAAAGAATCCTTGCATAACATTTGGTAGTTGTATGGGTTAGAAGTCTCTCTCACTTCTAGAAAGGTAGAAATCTGGTTATAGGCTAAAGATGTCTCCTCTGGGGAAATTTGTTTGTTTATGGCTCTGTCTGAAAAGATTTCTCAGACTTAAACATTAAATTAAGAATATTAGCTTTGCTGTTGACTCTGCTTTCTCCATGGGAAGCTACATGTTATACCTTTATTCCATGATAACTTCATAAGCATTCTTGAACATGAAGTTGTATGGTAATTCACTCTTAGCAGGACTTCTCTTTAGGGGTATGTCTCTCTTAGGTACTTTATGTTGCCCTTCACCACTGTACCAAGATCCAGCCACTTCATTGCTTTCAGCTTGCTTGGTATACAGCAGCCTAGTTGCTTGCTGCCAATTGTTTTGCTATTTTTCAGCCATAAAAGGAAGGATGGTTGTTAAACATCGCTTAGGAAATAGGGTGTCATGCGTTTTGGTCTCTATTCTGCTACAACTTAATATAGCTACAGGCAATATCAACCAAAAACTCTTGATTTTTTTTCTCTGTTTTTATAGAAGATGCATCCCTATCTTAGTGGAATACCTTCAGGATGAATTTATGTAAAGTGCTGGGTAAATTCTAAGTATCCATTGTACACCCCCCTCCCCCAAAGTACAGTGTGCATCTGTGAAGAGGTGGTGCCAGCCCTAATGTCTATGAAATGTATGAATGTAGTGTTACAGGTCATTGGTGGGGGAGGGGATGTTTATTTTTTTACGTTCTTCGTCCCAGATACATTTTGAGATGTGTTGAAAATGTCATGGTCACTGCTGCAACTGATAGACATTTGTTTCTTGTTGATCAAATAATTCCTAATTTTCCACCCATCTGCCATGCAATCCTTTTAATTGTCTGTAAAAGTGACTCCAGAATGGCCATCATTAGCTTTTTCATTTCTTCCCTTCTGTATTTCTTCTTTTTCCTCAGTTTTTTTTTTTTCACTGTAGAGCAAGATCAAGGTATAACAACTCAATTCCCACTCGCATGTAAATCTCTATTTACAGTTAAATGATACTTGAAACTCAAGCGAGCTGGCCTGAAAATAAAGATACTGGGTCACTGAAGATGCAGTGCTTGAGTAGTGTTGGTCTGCCCTTGCAAACTGGAATCAGCACAGCTCATACTCCTTGGTTGTTAATTCAGTCATTTTGTACTGCTTGCTTGGACAACGTTGTGGGTATGTCCACAGAGCAAATTAAATCAGGAAGCTGTACCCGGAGGAAACATAAACCTGATAGCTTAATCTAACTAGCATGGGTAGCAGTAGCAGTGAGGATGCATCAGCGTGTACTTTAGCATGTGCTAGCAAAGTGAAACAGCAATGCCTGACTCAGCTGGTATGGGTAGGCACGTTACAGCTGTGCTTTCAGGTTGCAGTACAGATGCAGCTTGTATGACTAGGGGGTCTGCCAAACTTGAGGCAGCTGCTGGCCAATTTCACAGGCAGACCACGACAAGGCTTTTTTGGTAAGTTCCCCTCCTGGGAGCCTTCCAAAAGTGCAGACCCTGCGCTTTTTCATGCAGCCTGCCCGAAATCACGGTTTGTGTGAAAATGGTGAAATTGCAATTTTGGTAGGTCCTTCTGTATGACAGTTGTAACAGTTCACCCACACTAAACTACAGGGTGGAACATTAATGTTCCACTAATTGCTGCAGTGAAGGTGAACCCTTACTTGATTTTAATAGTTGGATTTTCTTTTGATGAAGTGATTTTTGTCTTTGTGATGGTGCAGTAGAGAAGCCACAGATAAGTTTATCTTGATTTTTCAATTTCACAGATCATGTAAAAATCTGGGGGGCTTCTCAGATCACGCTGCAGATATTTTGTGTCCTACATGAGTTCTTATTCTTTCCTCACAATAGCCACAGTTCCCAACTTTTACAGACCTCAAGTTCTGACTTTCACTCTATGGCAACACTTCTATAGCTTATCATGCTTGTAAAGTATTAAATTCTATTCACTTGGTAGTTGCTTCAGGCAATGTTGCCATATTTTTCTAAAGGTAGTACCCCTTCACAACATGTACTGTGTTAACTAAAGTTCAGTTAAACTCTATAATTGGACTGTGTACCCCTTTAGTTGCTTGATATTCTCCTGACATCTTTGGACCAAATTTCTTTGATAAAGTGCTTAAGGTTATTATGCTTTCCAAGGAAACTTTCTTGCTTTCTTTAGGCAATTCATAGCTTCAGGCTCAAAGCCATAGTTTAGCTTTTCTCTGCACTCTTCAGCTGATGAGGCCCCAAGAGACAGTCTTCTCTTCTGAATTAGTTTAATGACATATATAAAATTTTAATGTGGTCGCTACTTTTGCTGCCAGATCCTACTCGGGCTCCTCTTTTAATAATTGAGTCAAAGTTCATTCAGTTTCCAGACTACCAAGGGATTCAGTCTGGTATGTCCAGTTGTCATTTGGATATGAAGAATGCAGTAGCAAAGTTCCTAAAAACAAGCTTTTTACACTTGTATGAAGTCTCTGTTCTGCATGTAATTTCAAAGACCACAGTCTGTATTCCTCCACGTGAAGTACTGATAGAGGTGTTCTAGCTGCTCTCCATCTGGAGCATACCTAAGTATGTCTGTCACTGTTGAATCAAAGTACCAAAAATAAAAAACACTTTCAAGGGGTTGTGGCTAAGGATTAAGTTTAACCTGTGCTGAGCCAAGTCAACCTGTGCTGAGTAGCGTGGAGGTGGCAGAGATGCAGGGCAGCCCAGCGTGGGCTCTGGGCAGCTGTAGCAGGAAGGGCCTGACAGCAATGGGGGGCATTTTTCCCTTGCGCCAAGGAATGGTTTCTGCTGGGCAGCTGCTGGTGCTCAGTGCAGGTGAGTTCGGATCATGTGTGGGCAAGCTGGTTTGGGGCTACATGCACGGGTCCCCACTGGTACCATGGGGCTGGGACCAGCAGAAGCTGGGAGGAGCTGCCACTGCCTGGGCTGTCTTGAAAGGCTGCGCGCTGCTGGTGGGGAGGTGCTGCATGGCATGCAGATTCCAGGCTTTTGCAGGGTGGGGGGTAGGCACTGACTGGTTCAGGGGAGCATGCGCAGGGGCCTCCTTTAAACACACACACACACACACACCCCCTGCTGCAATATACAAGAGTAAGACTTCATTTTGAGGTATTATGCAATCACCTCTATATGCACAATGCAAATGTACACAAATCAGGGCTCTTTTTAAAAAAAAAAAAAAAAAAAATCTTATTGTCAATGTTTGGTTTTTAGTATATAACTTATTTTTCTGGTTCCAAGATGGCAAACCCCCTTCCCAAAAGGAGTACTTTCGGGGGCAAGGGGAGGGACTTCCAGTGGCAAAAGTCAGGAGTTAGGGGGTCAGGACTTTGGGTCTCAAGATGGCCACCAGGGGGCAGGGTACTTGTCAAGGGGTGGGGCTACCTTTGCAGCCCTCGACAGCTCACCAAAACTCATTAAGTGGCCCTCCAGCCAAAATAATTGCCCACCCCAACCTAGATCCCTTAGTTATAAACCACGATCTCTTTGTACTATGTACAGAGTAAACAGGACAAAAAAAATCTGCCCCATAGTGTTTACAATCTAAAGCATAAGAAATTTCTTATGTTTATTACGAGAGAGAACACAAACACATTTGACACATTTGTTACATTTAAAATCATGTACTTATTTTCATGACTGTTGGAACATCTAAAGAGACTATGGAGAAGTTTGTCAATCCCAAGTAAGACTAGGTTAATCGGTTAATTAATGTTGAATTCATTTACTTATGTACATTTTTGGAAGAAAATTCCTGGTTCAGC